CAGAACACATATTTTAATATTCTAAGGAGAGGGATTAGGAAATTCATGTCCACAAGTATGCCTTGTGAGCCAAGCCAGGAACAGAGAATGGATTCTGCCAACATTCAACTCCTTAAGCTCCATAAGGGCACACAACAGCTGGATTCATTTTCAGAAGAGGACACCATCACCCAAGGCTGTAACATATAATAAAGTACTTTCTCTGGTTTCACAGAGATACAAATCAAATGATTTACATTCCCAAGTGTCAGCTATGATTTTCAAACTAGCTGTGATTCAATGTTACAGTACTCCACAGAGAAAGCATGCGGGAAACTCATCACATCCCGTTATGACACCTGGAATCACCCAAGAAAAATATTAATATTCTACTGCTTTCACATCAGAAGTGAAACAAAAAGGGAGGAAGTGGGTGGAAAAAGGAAGATCTCAGTTTCCTTCTCCCACACACAACCAAGCAGGTGAAGAGAGTAATACTCAGACTTCCTTTAATCTGTCAATAACACAAGCTGAAGCTAATATTTTAGCACTTGGTCTAGATTTAAATCTACGCTCTACAACACTACACTAACTGATTTTTTGTACAGTTTTGAGTTCAGAAAAACGTTCATATTTACTCACATCTTGTTTGCCAGCCTCAGAGACGTACAGCTAAGACACGCCCGATCTCCCAAGTTACCTAGAAAAAACACCAAAAATTAGCACTAATTCTGAAATTCAGCATGACATTTATTTACACACTGAGTTGCACACAAGCACATGATTTACAAGACCAACCTTTACATAGGAATGGCTACTACTGAAAGCACAAAGATGCAGCTTAACAGCAACTTCCCTATGCACTGTTTGTCAGCACATTCGCACTTTGGATGTTGCCAACACGGAATTCTGGTTTGCTTTTGACAGTAGGCATGTGAAGTACTGAAGCCCAAATACCTCACCCTGTTCCAACAGAAGTCAAAGCACATGCCTTGTTTTTATTTCTCTCAATCTGTAACCCCAATTTACAGCACAAAAAAGAGAAAACAGGTGGGAAGCAATTCTGCAAGGCAGATGAGATGTTCAAACAAACTGCCTGTGCACATCTGTGGATGTGTGAGGTACTGCTTGCTCTTGTTCAGTCACCTGAAGACACGTTTCCAAGTCCCTCAGGCAAGTGACTATATTGCAGAAAAACTTCACTGAAAGCAAATGTAATTTTTTAATAGCTCCGTGACAACACAGGATTAGATGATCCAAATGGAGCACTTGCCAAGCATTTAGGATGAAAATAGCTTTTTGTTTGTTTTAAGCAAAACAACAAATAAAACGTGAGTAGGAACTTAAACACACTTCATTAGAGAAGTGAAACCACATCACTTCAACACATTGCTGTCCATTTTGATTACACCTGGTGAAAACAGCTCTACTCTGTGATCTCTCTGCAAAGGATACAAATTGTCTTGAAGGGCGAGGACCTGACCCAAAGCATATGAAAAGTTAGCTTTCCAGAAAAAGCCATGTTCCTCAAAATGAATTTTATTTAAAATGCTAACTCAGAATCAATCCTAATAATAGCTAATGAAGTCCACAAGCAGGACTGACACCTATATACAGGCATCTTCTATCCAGGTACAGAGACAAGCAGCATCCACTCTGGAAATAAACTGAGGAGAGACCATGAAATGATAAATCATTTCACAGGCTTCAATAAAGGGCCATGCTTCAAAGCCTTCCAACCATGGAAGAAGCATCAGCAACATGAAATGCTAGTGGCTGTAAAGAACCTACAATCAGTGAAAACCATCCCTGAAATCACTGGAATTAATCTCCCTAAAGAGACTTTAAAAAAATAAATCTTGTATCAACACCTAGCTACAATAACTCAACAGGTAGTTGAGTTATACCAACTGCAAAAAGATTTCTGGACAAATTACAGGAAAATCACATAAGCAAGACTCTAAATGCCTCGACACTTTCTGGCCAATCTTCTTAGAATTCATTGTATCCAAAACAAAACTGGAAAGCTGGATAGAGCAGGTATGCTGTGGTTTGTTTCTCCCATCTGGAACCTACTATTTCTAGTCAATCCTAAGAGACAGCAGAATAGAAAAGTCATTTTAGAGGTTAGTGGTACCCTTTTCCACCATTAAAGCCAAGATATGGCCTATGACAGAACCTAAAGTAGAAAACTCTATCTGAGAAAACACAGCATCCAAATAGGAGATACTTTAAGTATTAAGGGAAAAGAGATACCGCAAACCCAGGTGGGAAAATCAGAAGGTATAGAAGACAACTGATCTGATGAAAATCTCAGTAATCAAGGGATGTCCCATGCTAAGTGGGCTCTGAAGTAATTACAGCAAAAGCCATCACATTATCAAGTCAAAGGATTTACCCATCTCAAGTTATATCAAACTCTAACAGGCACTTACTGCCACTGCAAGTAGAGCCAAAGTAAAAACTGTCTCTCTCTGGCTCAAAAAGCAAGTCTTGAGAAATCTGTGAAGGTACTCTCATACTCTCCTATATTTAGAGAAAGAACAGCAGCTGAATTTCTAAACCCAAAAGGCATCTCACAGGATGTCCCTGACTTTAAGGAAGAGCTGACCCAAGCAGATAAGTACTCAGTGTCTAGACAGGTAAGCCACAGCAGGGTAATCTGCTTGTCTCACCTGAGTGCCAGGAAGCACACAAAGCCCATGTGCCAAAAACCAGAGTCCTACTAGGAGAGGACACTGCCTGCTATGGACAGGTGCCCCCAGAACAAACAGAGATGATCTGGAGATCAAAACTGGCTTGGAGTTTCTTAGATAAAACTCCACAGGCAGCAAGACACTTTCACTTCACTTACTTTCTTTCCAACCAGACTCATGAAATGTTAAGGGGTCAAAGAACAAAATTCCAAGGTTGCCATAAGAAAACATGCTGACTCAAATGCTTCTTGTTGTACAGCTATTCAGAGTGTGAAGAGGCACACAGAAACCGTTAATTCCAACTTTGCCAGTCTTTGCCAGACAAGAGCTCTTTATGTTTTGCAGTGTCTGGTATAACCACGTACCTAAGAGCAAACCAGCCCTGAAATAAAACACATACTTCCTACAAAACGGAGCAAAGTCCATAATCCTTGCTTCTAGGGTAACCCAGACATCCAGAAGTGTCTGAACAAGGTGAATGTTGCTTAACCACACTCAACACTGTTCATTTAAGAAATCTGCATTAGCTTTGTAAGAAAGAAAGGCAGTAGTGCCAGAAAAACTATACGTTGACACGTTCGTCATGAGAAAGGAGTAATGAGAAACTTTATTCACAAATTTAATGAAACATCAAAACCAAAGTTTTTAATGTAGAATAGCTGTGTACTGTTACTATGTTTAGAGTTTTTAAAAATAAAATGCTAACATGAAGTAAGTCCCTACAGAAGTGTAAGCTTGCAGTACTTAACAGTCTGATCTTGACAGGAAGAACATTTAGGATTCTTAGAAGCACTTAGCTTTAACTTAATCTTAGACTACTTACACGTAGAGCAAAAGAAGATGAGCTAAGTAAAGCAGAACGCCACACAAAAAAAAAATTACACCTTGCAATAATGCATTAATAATAAATTAACACCCCAAACAAAAGCACTGATTGTATCGTAACCATAGCGCACCACAGCACATTAATTATTTGATTCTATCACAGTATTTCAGCACAGGTTCTCTAAGATTTATAACATGCAAAACCAGAGCGATCATTAGCACTTCTTATGCTATGCAACCAGAATAATCGAATTTAATCCCACATAATTTGAAGGTACATGGATGTGTTTCTTCCAGTTATAAACTGGACAGCTGAGATACCCCAGTTGTTGGGTTTTTTTGAGGTCACTGTACAAGCTCAACCTAAATAAATGTCTTTACAACAGTAGTTTAAAAAAACCCCATCAACTAGAAGAAACTATCACATTTTAGTGATTACTCGTAACCAAGAGGATAGCCTGGTCATCATAATGGACGAGCCTCCTCTTGGCTCACCAGGTTTGCCTGAACCCGGACGTGCCGCCGGCCCGTTCTCAGTGACAGCGCTCCAGTGACAGGCCGGGGCCGTGTCAGTGACAGTGTCACTGCCGAGCTTTCCCTCATTCCTCACTAACCCTCTGCCATTCCAGCTCCGGGACGTAAAGAGCAACCACAGGTCTCGCACATGTCTCAAGTTATCAGCTGTTTCATGCCACTAAACTTCACCACCCAGAGATCCTTAAACCGTCAAATTATCTTGGTTATTAATCGGTATCTCAAACTGCCTTTCCTTTTTATTTGCCACGCTTTCAAAGCCACGCGGGAAAAAGGCGAATTCACATATCCTTCCTGATGCGAACTAAGAAAAAAACCCCTTGTACTTTCTTAAAGAGAAGGAGCACATAAACTAGCGACAACTCCACATCAAGCTACGCTGAGAACAAGACGGACAGGACCGAGTCGTAGTTCCTGCACCTTAGCAAAAAGCATGTGTTTTCTCCTTCCCCAGCCAGCCGGCATTTAAAGGATACGCCTGCCCCAGCTGCCCTTAGGGCAGAGCATCCTTTCCAACCACGCTGGTAGGGGAAGCACATGCTTAGAGGCCGCAGGACCCAGGGAGCGCGGGCCGGGACAGGCCGGGCCGGGAGCAGCGCCCTGCCCAGCCCCGGCTCGCTCCCGGCGGGGACTCAGCGGCGGCCCTTCCCTCCCGCAGCGGCCTGTCCGCCCACGCCGGGAGCCCCCAGACGCCGCCGCCTCCGCTCTCCCTTCCACCCTCCCCTTGCCCCTTCGCCCAGGCCCAGCGAGCGGCCCCGGGGGAGCCTCACCGGGCTGTGGCCGGCGGCGCAGCGCTCGGGGCAGGCGGCAGGCGCGGCGCCCGCAGCTCTGCAGCAGCATGGACGCCATGGCGGCGCTCGGCGGGCGGGCGGGCGGCGCCGGCCCCGCTCCTGTCCCGTCCTGCCGCCCGGGCCGCGGCGACCTCCCACACAGGCTCAGCAGCGCCGAGGAGCCGCGTTCGCCCAGCACCGCCCCCGCGGCGCCGGGCACGCCGGGAGTCGTAGTCCTGAAGTGCCCGGTGAGGGCGGCTGGAGCGGGCTGTGGGGATGGCGTCACCGAGGGGCAGGCGCTGTGGGGTGTGTGGCTCCGCAGCCGCCCGAGGGGAGCGGCGGGTGAGCGTCGGGGCCCGCTGCGGGTACCGGAGGCTACCCCGATGACGGGGCTTCTACGCCCGAGGGCGGCTCGCTCGCAGCCCGCGGTCGGGAAGGTCGGGAAGCCCGAGCCCGCTGCGAAGGGCGGGCGCTGGTGCCTCACGGAGCCGCCCTGAGCCGCTCGGACCGCTGTGGCCACACAGAACGCCAGCCCGAAGTACAGCGGTCCAGCACCAGATGGTGCTTCCTGCCCTGGCAGCGGGGTCGGACTGGACGGTCTCCAGAGGTCCCTTCCAACCCTCAGAATCCTGGGATCCCGCGGTGTGCGCGGCAGTGTTGCCGCACGCCTGGGGCCAAAGCCCAGCGTGCCGCTGGCGTTTGGGGAGTGCTTGGCAGCAGCAGTTCCAGTGCGCACACGTGCGTGGATTGCGGATCCAGGGATGTGTCATGAAAATAGCTTTCTTGTGGAGCTGTGATGTCTTTGATAGGAAATAGCACATAAATCAGTCAATTGACAGATGTGCCTCGCTAGTGCTGGTTAATGGTTTGGCTACAACGTAGCATGATAGTCTTAAAATATCAGTTCTACTGACCAGCGTTAGGATCTCTTATCAAATATGTCAGTAGTCAATATAGCATTACACAGTGCCACTCATTTTGCATACTTTCGACTGCAGAGGCAGATGAAGCGAATAACAGGAATCTAACTGCAGAAATTATAATTTAACCTGAGAGCCGTGAAATTTTAAAAACTGTGTACATGAGGTTTGGGTGTTAATGCCTTGCTTATTCAAATAAAAAAAAAAAAAAAAGGGAGGGGGTAGAAGTTGCTGGAAGTGTCTGTGGACAAGATGGCTGACAGCCCTGCCAACAAGATGGCTGCCCCAAGGACAGGTCTCCAGAGGGACGAGGGTGCCGTGGGCTCAGACCTCTCCTGCCTCACAGGCCATTTACAACACCAGGCATTGCATCACCTCTACACCTACCTAAACCCCAAACAAAATAGGTGCTATTTAACCTATATTTACCCTTATCTGTCAAGGGTAGCAGAAGCATCAGGTTTGACCCAAACCGTGACTGAAACAGCCTCACGGTAATAAAAAGCCGAATGAGTTCTGTGGTTATCCTTTCATGCTTGAGACTTTGCAAATGCAGGAAATTAATTAGTAATGTTATAAAGTTCTTTTGTGTATTTAAAGAAATTCCTCACGGGTTTCTCCTAAGTGTGAAAAATTTAGATGAAAAAGATTCAAAAGAATATGTGAACATGGACTACGCAATTGACTGAATATTTAAAAATAAAAAACAAGACACCCTTTTGTCACATCTTTTCACTGTGTTGGCTATAGTAATACTAGTGTTGTTTGCTTTTAATGATAGTTAACAAATTAATTGGTATTATTATTTATGTACTCTAATTACTAGAGCTAGTATTAAAATGTTAGGTTCCCAAATGCACTAAAAGACTTTTAGCCAGCTGTGTTTGGTTTACAAGTATTTAAAAATGTAGTGCATTTAAATGGTTAAGATTATTTAAAATGTGCAACCTGACAATAGTGCTTTATGTTAATATGGCAATCTTAAAAAAAAACAAACAAGCAGCAACGAAAAAAGCATCTTCCCTATCTACACATCTCTCTCACTAGACTGGGTTTGTAGCTTTCTCTTGTTATTCTTTTTTCTTTCTGGTTGGCTGATAACAAAACCAAATGAAATGGGGCAACTAATGGCAGTTCCTCTAACAAAGCTGCTTAATTATGTAGAAACATTATATGAAGCCTATACAAGAAGAATAATATGCTCTGAAGTCATTAAACTATTGACAAGAGATTTCAGACAGCAAACAGATGATTACAGAGGTCTCAATACATTTATGCAGACAAGTAACCAGTCTTTCAATAGTTTCATTAAATTCATTAGTATTCAGGGTGGCAGACAATGTAGATGCATGTGCCTTTTCAGAGCTGAATTCGTTATGTTTTTGTACAGTCTTTTGTTCCAGATTTGTTTATACCTGGAATTTACATGGTTTTCTACCATATATGAAAAGGATTGATAATATACTCTGTGAAAAATTTGTAAATAGATACAGTTTCAAAAAACTAATTGTGTGCATTTACCAAGCATTGTGAAGTAATGTTTAAGATAAGATGGAGTATTAGTAATTTCCAAGTAGTTGTACAGATTGTTCCCACAGGAAAAGGCCGAGTGACTGTAGGTGACACATGGACCTTCCACACAGGTCAGTCTTTGTTTTAAAGAAAAACATCTTTCACTCCATCCCGAGCAACAGACCATGAGTTCACAGAGAAAACACTCATCCCCAGAATAAATCACCATACACATAATTACTAGGGGTTTATTTTTAAAAAACTCAACTGCTACAGCCATTTTAGACCTGGTTGCCTTAAAGCAACCATGTTGCTTGGAAAAGTTGTCAGCCATCTTGTTGAAAAACGTGTTTTCTAGGACGAATAGGATGAGGGACTGAAAGGAAGAAATACAAAGCCTTTTTTCTGGATGGATTTAACAAGGATCTGAGAATTATTAAAATAAATGTAATATTTGAATGTTAAGATTTGAAAAATTAATTTTAAAATTAAGATTACTATTTAGTATTAAATATTGATTTCCCCCGCCCCCCCGAATGTTTAACAGAAGCAAAAGCAAAGTAAGAGTTCTCGAAACCAATTTGAAACAACCTCCAAATAAGAGGCAAATGTGATGCCTGGCAGAGCCCAGTGATAGGACAAAGGCAAGGCTGTTTTAGTTGTCTAAAAGAGGTATGATGCAAAGACCTATAAAAGCACAGAACATGCCTACGGCTGCGCATTACTTGCATAGACATGACAAGGAGCAGATGAACCCATAATTCTCAATGAGGAAGGTTCGAAATCTGTCTAGAAATTGGGGAGCAAATGTTAGTATCAACAGGGAGCAAAACTGTAAGGGAACTACTATATATGCAGTATTCTTGTTCAGAAAATCTCTGCTTCACAGCCAAAAGACTTGCCAAAGTAATAGCTACATGAAATTCCTGTCTGCTGTTGTGCAGTACTCCTTCTGTCACCAGCCCCTAACGAACCCTCGTTGGTGGTGGGCAGGTGCATTTGGAGAGCAGGATTCCTTTGTGGCCTGCCAAAGATGCCTGCACTGTTGGAGAGGGTGCCCCTCCCCTGAGGACATGTCCTAGGAAGCACTTCCTAGATCCTGTTGATGTTTTTGAGGATGGATAAGAGGACCCCTCCCACTCCAAACTGCAGGTGCCCTGTAGCTTGTGACAGTGGCTGTGTAACAGTACCAGGTCTGTGACACTCCTGCCAGAGCCACCATTACACAGACACGGCCTCGGTCCCCTGGAACACCCAGATGAGAAGCCAGGCTGGCAGCAGAGGCAGGAAGGGACCAGGGTAGTGGGATTCAGTGAGTGGAGGGGAAGGAGGTGCTGTGTTGATGCTCTGGGCTGCAAGCAGGAGGAATTGGGAGTGTAATTAGCATTTGATGAGTTGGGAGACCAGGTTTGCCATTTCACTGCTTCAACATCGTGTTTGTGTATACACAGTGCAATTCTGTAAGATACATATTAGCATAGGTCCATAGACAGTATTTAAAAGTAGGATTATGCTTTTAGTCTGTAGAATCTGTTTCCATGGCAATCCTCAGGTTGTCTCCTTGAATAGGTTTAACAATACGGGATTAAACTCATCTTTATTCAGCATAAATCTAAAGAAAGGAATAATAAAAAAAAGACATTACTGTGTAGCAAGTTCCATTAAGTTTCCACTCGAGGGGGAAAACCAACAGATTATTAGTAGTTTTTTTAAAAAAATACTCCCATTCATCATCATGGATTTTTAGGAGAGACTCGTGGGATACTGAAGCCTGTTGCTCTTTCGGTGTTAAACCCAAAGGTAAAAGTTCAAGTGGTGGCTGGATTACAGAGTTGCTGTATGTACGTCCAGGTCACAAGTTCACTCCTGTCTGTAAATGTGCCAAAAACAAGCAGCACTGGCTACACATTAGCACACAAACAGGCGGCCCTGGGTGCCTCTTCAAACACTGCCCTGAAAAGCTACACAGAGATTGTCTTGATGGTAATAACGTGCTGTAAACAGTCATTCCTGATCCAAGGATAATTACCTGCTCAAATTCTAGTCAAAAAGCGGTATTTTAAAAGATTGCGTAGGCTTGACCCAAATTAGCAACATAAAATGACAAATACAATTAACGTTATTAGGTTGTCATTAGTTAGATTTGACATGCAGGCAGACAAGGAGAACGCAGCTAGGGGAGCACAAACAGGTAATTTTGAAAATCTTTCCAAACTGGGGGGAAAAGTACCACTTGCAGTTCCGAGAGAAAACCACCGAGGTTCTCGCTTTACCCACCAGGTGGAGCTTATGTGAAACAAACAGGCGGAGAAGCTGCGTAATCACCGCACAAAGAGGGTTTTGGGGGGCGGAAGGAGCACGAGGGGGGAAAAGCCAGAAGGTTCTGGCCCAGACAGGATCAAGCAGAGGGAGGGCAAGCACTGTTCAGGCTATATGCACAACAAAAAAAGGGAAGAACATATCTATAAAAAGCAAACTGATTTAGACCTTGAGAAAAACGGGGGGGAGGGGGGGGAAGACAAAAGGAGTCTTTAGTGTTAAAAAAGCACCTGTTAGGTCCAGCTGGTGTGAGAAGGACTGAGATTTTGCTGCAAAACCACCAACCCTGTATATAAGTAACCTGTTCTGCCTCCAAATACATCAATTTGATTTTATGAATGACAGGCTGTATTTAGACTCTGTATTTAGAGTTATTCTTTCCTTCCAGGATTTTTTGAGTCTGTCAGGTTTGCAAGTTCCTGTCTGCAATTAGAAACACAGAAAGCCAACAATCATAGGTCATCATCTGCCTCTCAGTTAGGTCTTTTCTAAGAAAACACCAAATGTTGTGTTACTGTCAATAAAAGCCCTAAATCTGCCACCTCTGCTTTTGTGCACCCATCAAGAAGCAAGACAAGAAGCGCACGTGACCAGGGAAGCCCTCCCCCCACCCATCCCGTATTTTGTGGATCTGTCCCTGCACTCCTTATATATCACCAAATTCCTGGGGAAGTCAGGCAATGTTACAGGAGTGCTGGAGATACAGGAGGTCCCTGCAAACCAGAGATACCTTCCAGTTTATGTCCATTAAAGAAACAACAGGAGGTCAGTACACCATTTTAGGAGAATTTTTACCTTTATATTCTAAAAAGGAGAAAAATGTGCTACTTCCAAGGGTCATTTTAATGGCAACAGCATAACTTTCCTTAGCCATTTGGTGAGGCTGAGGCTGCTCGTGGTAGGCACTGGTTTGGAGGGGAGTGGATTACACCAGCACATGCCCACAGCTGTATGACTTGGTAACAGGCAAAATGCACCGTAATCCCATTGTCCCCCAGGCACATTCAGGCTTTCTCTGCCTCCAAGGAAGTGAGCAGAACTAAGCATTTCTGTTAAAAGAACAAATGAGAAAGATACTGAAGATGGAGAGGTTGATTTGCTGGAGCCTGATGCTTAAAATTCATATGGCAGAATTTAGCCCTCTTGGGCCTCAGCTGTTGTTACCTCTTTCTTGCAGGTTTTGCTGAAGATCTTATCAGTCCTGGCTCATATTTTTCCCTAACAATCAGCCTTAATAACCTCACCGGAATGTGTCTTTCAAACCTTTGAATCGCTCTCTCTTATTTACCTTTCAGCTTTACACTTTCTATCTTACATAATCCAGACCAAGCCTGTAACACAGATCTCACACTTTTTTATCCTGTTCTCCTTGACCTGGCTAACACTCCCATATTCCACGCTGCCGTACAATGACCTCCCCATTCCAGCGTGCAAGCCCACAGCCCCTCCTTTATTCAAGTCAAAGAGCTGCTTTTCTCAAGAGGCCTCCCCACAGAGATAATGAAAAGCAGATTAAGAGATTTAAAAAAGGAGTTGGTTCCTTTGGAATGGTCAGTGCGCTTTCCCTTTCTACAACCATCCTCTATACTGTAAATTTTCCAAATCAGTGTTTGTCTGGATGTCTGTGCCTTGACCTCAGCAGGACCTAAGCTGTTTGGGCCCCAATCCTACACATGCATATTCATGCCATGTCCCTTTGCTATCAGAGAGGTTCACACAGAGTGGTAAAGAAACAGCGCAGTTACGTATTTGTAAAATCAAATCCTGGTGCTTGCCAGATAATATCATAAAAGTCTTGGGAAGAGCTAAAAATCAACATTTTAATCTCTGTTTTTGTGACACAGAAAGAATGGCAACTTGCAAGGCAAGTGAAGTGGCAGTTCTGTTGACAACACTTGGTTTGAACTGATCTGTAGGTATATGAGAATCTTGGGGGGAAGTACCAGGTAAAATGTGATGTGAAGCTATAGAAATACAACAAAGAGCCATCAGCACAAGTACATCCCAGTGGTGCTTTGCCAGTATCCTGTCTTTTTCTTGTGCTGCTGAATTTCAGGCATCAGAAACAGAAGACGCTTTGTCTGGGCTTTCCCATGTAACAGCAACCTCTCTCCTGCCTGTCTTCGGCCCCTGTTCACTTTATTACTATTATAGTATCCCCTAGAGACAGACTTGGGAGGCATTCACCCCCAAACATCCTGTTACCTTAAAGCAATTAGGTATTTTCTCAGTAACACATTACATGCTTTAATCCTGGTTACACGTGAGGATAAAGTGTGGCTAGCAAGTCGTAGGTGTATGTAAGAAGATACAAAGTTGACATAAAAGAGCTTCACCATTGGGTTTGATCAGAATCCAGAGGAAGTCAAGTCCCCCAAAGCAGTCGCTGTCCTCTGAAAGCAACATGAAGAGGGAATTTTGTGTACAAACTGAAGGCTTAGCTGGGGACTGCAAATATCCAGCAGTTCATCGGCTGAATAGAGCAAGAGGAACTCCTTGGGACTAACTTGTGCAGCAGGTCAAAGTGAGCCATCCAGCCTGCTTGTCAGCCAGGGAAACAAGCCCCACACTCATTCCGGTATGACATATATCAATCATTTTCTTTTTTAATCACTATTCCAACAGCTGAAAGAGGAAATACGCCCAACAGATATCAACAGAAAGCTGGCTCAGCCAGCAGTGCTTTCCTGTCGTGCCAAGGGAACAACCTCCTCCCCTTTCCAAGGCCTCTCCTCCCAAGGAACAGACATCTAACTCTCCCTGAGCTGGGAAGCCTCTTTCAGCGTGCCAGCTGGGAAATCAGGGCCCTGGG